TCAGAGGGAAACCTTTGTATGGGTTTTCTTACTAAGACGCATTTATTTCCTGAAAAATTGCTTCAAAAATCATCCTAAAAAGAAAAAAAAAATTGAGTTTTGTTTTTTGCTCCTATTTTCTGTTTAACTAAATAACCCAGTAAAAGGGTTTACGATTTGATTGGCGCGAAATCGTTTAAAAAAAAGCGGAAAGATCAATCCTTTCCAACAAGAGGCTAAGAAACCGGCAGCATATAATATAAGTTTACAATTATTATTTTGGCAACATTATCGGACCTTCTTCTCGACTTCAGGCCCTTTTAATGCGGGTTAAAACCGATAAAAATTATCAGAAGGGTCGGGTAGACGCTTTCTGGAGACGAGGTTCGACATAGCCTTGTCTGGGTGCCTTCTGCCAAAGGCAGAGAGTTCGACCAACCAGCAGAGACGAATCTCCAACTAAATACCGAAGCCAGATTATTTACTCCAAACCCCGTGAAATTTATTTAATGCGGGGTTGAAACCGAGCCCATAGGAAGCAAAACCCAGGTAAAAACTGGGTGATCACTACCATATATATCTACTCGATATTGTCAGCCCACATCAGAGAGATCAACCAGCAGGGAAGAATTCCAACCAAATACCGGACATTCCATTAAAACAATTAGTCAAATAGGCATAGGGAGCCATTAAAACTTACAAACAAGCAATATTCCCATTCAGTGTGGTAAGCTATTGAATCCTCAAATATTTTTTCTCCAAAAAATACCTAATTATAGATTAGGTTGCGTCTTAACACTTATAGCGTCTTAGCATACGTGAAATACGGCATATTTAATAATAATCTGAGAAGGTTCATAGGCAGATTGTTAATATAAAGTAAAAAGTGTATAGGGCCAAGGCAAGAGTCTTGTGGAAGGCCTCCATTGGTCTCATGGGCTTCAGAGATCCGAATACGTTTTAGGATGACCAAAGATGCATTCCCAAAGTTAAGCAGAGTATTAAGAGACAGGAAAATTTCGTTGGAAACAAAAAAAAGTACTGAACGGTTACGTGATATCTGTCGTCCAACATGTCAGCGGATGCTGGATAATTTCCTCAAAGATGAAGAAACTTGAAGCAACAGAAATTGTGGTTCTACAGATGGATGCTGAGGATATCATGAACTCAAGTTTTGGAGAAAATGGAAACAAAAAGGAAACTTATGCTTAACATCAGGAAGAGGTTGTTGAAATTTCTGGCGCACGTAATGAGAAAAGAGAGTTTGGCAAATCTGATACTCACTTTGAAGGAAGGAGGGACAGAGGAAAGCAGCGTGTTGGTTTGAGCAAATGGATGGAATAGCAGGGCTTGGGAGAAATAAGAAAAAGACAAAACTTAAGAGCTATAAGGGACAAGAAGATGTGGAGTGCTATGATCAGCTACGTACTGAAGAGACCCGACACATAAAAGAAGAAACTTCAGAGGATTGGCTATTAGCAACGACCTTCATGGACTTAAGCGATAGGAAGGACTAGATAATTTGCTATTAATTTGATTTATTAAGATATTTTTTCACACAATACCACATATGCTAATTCTTTTTGCTTTCGTATTTTCCACTGATAAGATTAGTCTAAACATTTTATTGACTTTTAGTAACAACTCGCCTTAAAACCTCAAAAAGAAATTATCATTGACACATGTTGATAAGAAAGACAGGACTTCTGGGGGTAAATAATATAATTTTGGATAGAATCGTCTCATAACGCGAGGGTGGTCTTCTAAATAAGGAATCTTTAGCATTTAAAACCAGAAACTGTCAGGTTTACCTTTTTTCAAAATGTACGTCTAGAATGGATCTCGGTGTGAATCGAGTCATTTATCTCAATGATTAGGGATTTTGTCTAGGTCTTTATACGTTAAGATCGTGCGGTGCTTGTGGCCAGAGACTCTACTTAGCGGAACGAGAGGAAGTAACAACTAAAAATAAAAATAAAAATAACTACCGTACGCGCCTCCCCCACGGCGTTTGATCTGCTGTGTCTACAACCCTTCGCCAAATAAGAGACGCACTTAATCTCAACCAGGCGCTGAACGTCAACGGGATTTCAAAGACATCAAAAAACGGGTCATCTTATTCATTGGTCAGCTGAACGAAAGTTTATCAAGCAAATCTCGTGAAGTCGTCAATGCGAAACTAAAGGCTTTTATCACACCACAAGCGGTAATTTTCTAATTTAAAACAAATGGTGTATATCTGGGCTGAAGCTATCCAGTCCTCACTTGATAGAGTTCAAAAACGTCTATGCAGCCTTGTGGGTGATGAATTATTTTCCTCCCTACAACCCATTTCTCACAGATAAAACGTCACAAATCTCTCGCCATGACAGGTGTTCAGACAAGCTACAATCCTCAGTTCCACCAGACCTTGACCTTTGCAGCTGGGACCCACCATACTACATACATACAGATGAATAATTCCCATTCTCTTCGTATTCCATTAGTAAGGAGGAAGTACCACACCTTCCCCCAAAACTTCTGCCTTTTGGCGCAATAATTTCTCAATCACTACAATCTTGATCTCCCAAGTCTAGGGTCAACTGTTAGCTTTCATACATAACCTCATGAACTTCAATTCTTGACTTTTCTTACGCTCATACAACCTCATACAGTAACTCTTTACCTTGAGTGACTCTTGGGCCTTATAGGGCTGAACATGCGTAAAATAAAATCATACCGATATCCAAAGGTGGAAGTGGTAAGTTCAAATTTAATTTCCTCATAAATATCTCTGGGGATGGCATGAAGCGATCTATTTTCCCCCTTGGCTATGGATTAAATAGTTGTTTAAGGACACCTTTGAATTCAAAACCATGGCAAAATATGTGGAGAGCGACGATCACCTGCGAACTGAGATGAAGTTAAAAAATCTCTAACGTTTTTCATAATTACCTCCATGAATTTAAAGAAAAAAAAACAAAAACAAGCTGAAAAACGTAGTTTAAATTTAAACATTTTCTTTGAAGTTAAATTCTAGCTTTATTTGAAAAATGTTTGTCTAAAGATAATCCGTAAAAAGACAATCTGTCAAAAGATTGTAGAGGACCGTGTGTGTTTGCGTGTTGTTGAATTGGAAACACGTGCTGTTTATTTTCTGCTAGAAGGTCCAACTACAAGAAAATGGCCGGACTCAAGTTGAGTCCAACTGAAGATGTAAAGAAGACAAACAAGACCGATATATATATATATATATATATATATATATATATATATATATATATAATAGATTTATATATAAAAATAAATTAAACAAATTTTACAATGGACATAGACCATAACATCTGTGTGTATGTGAACATTTGTGTCTGTTCTTTGGCGAATGTTCGTACGTACGTGTATGTGTGTATAATGTTCATGGCGTCTCCCACAAATAGGAAGACGCGGATCTTCTAAGAGAGCTTACATTGTAGTCGCTGAAATGAAGAAATGAAAAAGAGAACGAGGCGAGAATCGCCCAGTATTTATGGTGTAGGGAGAATGACCCCTAGTGACAATTTGGGAATTAAGGAGGAGCTAACTCCGACAAGATAATCCGTACGAAAGAAAAATTATTTTAAGTCTTTAGACACAGATTTTAGACATTAAGCCAAAACAGAAATTTAATTTCCCCACCCTTTGATTAGCGAAGATGATGGACGCTGACAAAGGAGGAATTAAAACAATTTAAAAATCACTTAAAAATTCAATATCTGTCCCAGGCATTTTTTTCGTAAAAAATAGCAGATTTAATTAGATTTGTAAAAATATGACTTACTTCGCAAAAGATATAACGAAAAATACAATTTCCTCCGCAGCGTATGTTCCCACTTGTCAAAATATTTAAAGGTTAAACAAACATAATCTTACAACACTGCTCTCTCTTTAAGAAATTCCCGCGTAAAATCAAGTAAAAGATGGAAGACAACACCTCAATAAAAAAACTTGAAGAAGGAAGAAGAGGATTTAAATTTTATGAAATTTGAATGAACAATTTTGAATTTCTTACACTACCAAAAGGAATCAAAAAAGAAAAAAAAACAAGGGAAAAAATTAAAAATATATTTTTTTCTTTAATCATTCCACCGCAAGTAAGGCGATAAAGCAACTAAGACGCAAATGGTTACTGAGTGTAAAAGATTAAAAACGACGGAAAATGACGTTTGACGTTGCATTAAATTTATAAATATTGTAATTTGCAAGAGAACCAGAAGCCAGAAGAGAGTTTCATGAACGAGAAGTGCGAGAGAAGAAACTATCAAAAAAGAACTTCTACATCTTACTAACATGCACCTTTGTGTGTACACACGCACACACACACATACACACACACAGACACACACACACACACACATATATATATATATATATAGATCATATCACTTAATGATTAATAAGGATAATTCCAAGGAGGATATAAAGGATATAATGCCCTTCCTTGCCTTTAAAGGAGTGCCCTTTGCCGTGCTGATGTTGCTACATGCCTTATTTCTTGCCTATCTCACACTATGAATTTTTTCTAAGCTCTATACTAACCATTAAATCTGTTACGAAAAAAGAACTAAACTAAATGAACACAAAACGATCAGCTTTAAAAAGGGACTTGTAACTGGAAAACCGAATGAAAAAAGAATGTTAACAACATATACTTTTTCACACCCAACCCAGTTCTGCGGAATCAGAATCAACGTTGAGTTTAAGCAAGCGAATGAGCCAATTGGAGTAAAGTGCCATGCAGATTTAAATTTTTCCGACTTGTGACGAATGCAGCTATCGATTTTTTTGCATGCTAGCATGCTAGTTAACATTCGTGTCAGTCAGCTGTTAGCTCTCACGCTGGCCAATAGAATCTTCCTGCCTATTCGTGGCAGCCAGCTATTGGCTCTCACTCTGGACAGTACAACATGTAAACTGCCGCATAAGCATGAAAAAATCGATTATTTCCACTATCGATGGGAGTTGGGAAATGCAAAGTCGTTTTTGGCCTTCCCGCTAACTTGGAGCATGTGCATGTAAATTTTGGTGCAAATCCGTCGAAAATTGCCTCCGTGCATTCGTTACACACGCACATCCTGCCTTTTATCTATCTATCTATCTATCTATCTATCTATCTATCTATCTATCTGAATTGTTAGAAAATCTGTACAAAAACTTGTATAGCGGTAATAAGGTTTGGAAAGCCACCTAATATTTATATGTATTCATATGTAATATTTATAATACGTGTTTTTTTTTTACAGGGAAATATTAAAATTCAAATTGATTTACTTACAAGTGGGTTTTTCAGAAAAATTGTTTTACTTTAACCAGTTTCGCTTTTAGCTTTTCAAAAAGTTTGTAAATGTTTATATTCCCATGTGTTGACACTTATGCCTTGAACAAATGAAAAAAATCAAGGGGCGTAACTGGTTTTATACGTCGCTTATGGAAAGGAAAATATGATAGAATTTATTTTGAGGGATGTGCTTCTTGTTTATCCAATGAATTGAGTATTGGCTTAAACTTGCTGACAAAATAATGTTTCTTTATTAATACGTTTTTGTATCAGATGCTGACTATAGTATAGGGAATTTTAGCGTCATTTTGGCTTGAAAAAAAAAACACATTGATTTTTAAATTTTTGGAATATTCTTGTTAATGAAATTTTCAGAACTTATTCGCAAATGAATGAAATTATTTCAGAAACGTTTCTTTTTTAGAAAATCTTGGTAAAAATAATTTTTAATATCTGTTCCCCCCCCCCACACACTTATTTACTTTTATGAAATTTCGAGAAATCCTTTTTGTAGGACTTAATGTTTATATTAATCATAAGCACAACCCTTGGGAGAATTTAAATATTCAATTTTCTTTTGTAAACCAGGATCCCCAGTTACCGAAAATCTGTTCTGAGTCACAAAATAAAAAAAATGCAATAAACCTAAGACATTATTTAATTAGAAAAACTTGATTTTATGAAAAAGATACATGATGGACACAATTGTCTTAAGAAAATATATTTTTCGATGAATAATGAATTTTTAAAAGAATTGTTTGCATTAAAAAAATTATAATAATTTATAAAGTTTTAAATCTTTTAAAATTTTGCATTAATGTGTACCGGTCAGGTGATATTGTTATTAGGTAGGTATTTTTAATAAAGAAAGAACATACCCTGATGAAATAAGGCCCCAAACTTGATTAAACAATTTTTTATCGTCTAAATGTTTATGTTATTATTAAGAGGAAAGACCAAAATATTTTTTGAAAAAAAAAAAAAATCCTTTCTAGCACGTCCGAAATATTAGTTAAAAATCTTGTTTTTCTTTTGAGTCATCAAAATTTACATAAATCGATCATGTCAGTCATTTTTGACAGTTTTGTAAACAAAAGTAATATTCTCCGTTTAAAAATCTTGTAAAATTCAATTATACTTTTCAAAGGTTATTTTAGGAAAATTTAAAGTTATACTTAATGTAATTTGAAACAAACATTATTTTTTTAGCAGAAAAAATTAGTTGGAAATAAAAGAAGCATGTCTAACAGTGGTGATTGGTTTTGGAGGTGAGAATTGATGTTTACTTTAATGTATCAACAACGTCAGGGCAATTTATCGGACGGAAGGGCAGAAGTCACAGTATTTTCGAATTTTAAGTGAACCAGCACATTTAACTATAAAGTAATTCTTGAAAATTGAATACTCTTAAAAGTTTAATATTTTATTGATTTTTAGGTACATTTTTTAACGAAGATGTGTCCAAAGTCTGCACTGTTTCCGTCCCTAAAACTGAATCTATAAAAGTAACAATTAATAATTTGCTGTATATCCCTCCATGAAAAAGAAAAAAAATTGATTATATTTAAAAAAATGAAAAGAAAATATTTTATGTTATGTTAAAAAAAAAAAAATTAAAAATTTTGAAAACTAAACGATGATGGTTTGTCAAAAGAGAATTTGACACAAAATCACACAATTTATGAGGCCGGATGCTCGCTTATCAGAAGAAACAACTCTTTTGTCGGAGATGATTTTAATACATTTTTTGACATATTAAAAAATTATTTAAAAATAGAAACAGGTTGCAGATTGTAATAAGATTTCAAACTTAATATCTGTAAAGTTGTTTTTTTTTTAAATAAGAGCATTTCCAGAGATACACATATTCAAACTTAATTTTAAAATATTTAACAACTTTATCACATTTTGTATTTAAAATTGAAAAAAAAGAAAACAATTCTTGTAAAAAATTCACTTTTCATCGGAAAAAATATTTTGACTTCGGACAAAAACGTCCTTAATATATATTATTCATAAAAGCCATTAAAAGTCTTTTTTTAAAAAATTAAATAATGTCTTAATTTTATTGGATTTTCCATTTTACAATTCAGAGCTAAAGTTTGGGCAGAAACGATCCTCGATTTACAAAAAATTGAAGATTTATATTCTTCAAAGTCTTTTGCATTTAATTAAAAAATGACATATTCGAGATTTCAAGTTTTCATAAAATTAAGTAAGGTGGGGGTAACAGATGTAAAAATATATTTTTATCATGACTTTCTGAAAAAACAAACATTTCTAAAATAATTTAATTCATTTTTCATTAAGTTCTGAAAGTTTCATTTAAATCCGAAAATTATTTGATTTTTGAAAGAATTTTCAATTGAATGTTTTCTAACTGACAAAAGCGCTAAAAAAAAAACTAAAGCTAAATATTACGCAACCGTTGACCTAAAAAAAAAAAGAACAAAATTTTCAACCAAAATTTCGAACGTGCTAGAAAGGAATAGAAAATTTGAAAAATAATTTAAAAAATAATTTGGTCTTTCCTCTTAGTATTAACATTAACTTTTTCACGATAAAACTTTGTTTTGATTAAGTTTGGTTCCTTTTTTCATCATGCCATGCTGTTTTTTCGGCGAATTATTAAATATGCCTATTATTAAATAAAAACAATATTTACTAATAGTAAATGGAAAAGTTTATTACAATGCAGCGATTCCCAGTATTTTAAAAATAATTTTGATTTTTTTTGTGTGTATGCAATGTACCAAGTTTTGTAAAGGCGGGCGTCTATACACGACATTATCAGAAAATATGAATGGTAACTAAAATTCAATAAAATATTACTTAAAATATTTTCCTTAATGTTTAAGATTAATGGGTAGTTAAAAATTGTATAAAGAGGCAGTCACCTTATATTTCTCAAGTAATTTTTACAGTTATGTCCCTCGTAGAGAAAATTCCCAAACATATCGAGATTTTATCAACACATAAAAACATCCATCTCCGTGTTAAAATGCTTTTCTGCGATACTTTTAAACTAAATTAAATTAAATTAAGTGAACTTTAAATCAGCTAATATTCCCCAAATAAAGTTTCAGAAAAGTATATTTTATTTTTGAAAGAGGATTATGTTATGCTGACAAATTTGTAAAAATGGCTGAAAATGGCTAAAATAAACAATTTTAGCGATTTAAAAAGATAATTCTAATCAATTTAAGTTAGTTTTGAAATAAAGCAAAGTATTTCGCTTATTAGAAATATCAAATTTGACCCATTAGCTTTAGATTAAAACTAAAATAAAAGCTATTTACACTGTTCGGATTGTTGTTAATATTCACGACGTTTCGGCCATTGTACGTTCCGGCCTTCGTCAGGTGATTAGAATTTCGAACTGAACTCTTTATTTTGTCCACCGAGGTAGATTGTACTAGTTTCACGTGCCATGCCTCTTCCGAATGTCTCGATTATCTCGCTTTGATTCAAGTTTCTACGCCTTTATTCACTCCAGCTGTAGCCAGATAATAAGCTCACAACCCTTTGGGTCAAGTCACTGACCGAGGCTGATAACTGAACGTTGTTATCCTCTCGCACCCTTATATTTCAGTTGGGGAGGGGATGTGAGATGAGGTTGAAATAATAGACAGAGAACATCACTGGAAGATACGAAAACTTAAGGAATCCGCGCATATGCTAGGCCACAAAAATCTCCTGAGCCGATCAAGCATAGAAATGAATACAAGATGAGAGACCAGTAAAAAGGAGTGCTAGAGAAAAACAATGACAACAAGAAAATTGCAATATGAACTCTGGTAAAAATGCTTACCGAGACATTAGGTTTATAAGTAATTTATAATTCATATGCTGATATTCTCAAAGACACATGGCCCAGTGGCTAAAGGCGTTGATCCAAAGAGTTGTGAGTTTAAAAAAACAAACAAACTTGTAGAGTTAAGTTAAAGATAGATAACTGAGACATCTGGAAGAGGCATGGTATGTGGAACTAGAAAAATAGAAGAAATGAAGGGCTTAGACAAAGGTCGGGGCGTACAACGCCTTTAACGTCGTGAATATAGCAACGAAGATGAGGACAACAGTTCTAACAATGTAAATTGTGTAAATAATTACATACCTCATCTCGGAACTATAGACAGATAAAATAAGAACTTCGAGAAAGAGGTTTCCTTTTTAAAAAAATATTTATAAAACTTAAGTATCGCTTTTCTACCGAGGTAATTATTTATAAGTCTAACATTTGGACAATGCTGTCACATAATCTGGTGCTTCTGATATATATTTAGAGATTCTTGAAAAATACTAAGAAGTATCTGCAATGTTATTGGTCTTGACCTGGCATATCGACTTCAGTCACTTTCCCACAATTATAACGAAATTCCCTGCATTTTTTCTATAAACATTTTCATGATAATTGTTCTGATGATTTATGTTTTTTTATGTTGAATTTTTACTCAAGCTTCGTTTTGACGCCATAATTAACCGTTGAAAATTTGATAAAAATTGTTCAAATCAAATTCGAGTTATTGAAGTTGATGTGATTTGTATAATAATTTCAGATTAACTCTATCTATCTATCTATCTATCTATCTATCTATCTATCTATCTATCTATCTATTCAGATCTATCTATCTCTACCTTTTTAATTCCCCGTCTATCTCTCTACCTATCTATCTATCTATCTATCTATCTATCTATCTATCTATCTATCTATCGCGGTTCATATCTAGCTATTATACATCCGCTGGCTATTTTGATATATCTATTTTCGTTTTTGCCGGATGTGTCACCACCGAAGTCAATTTCCACCGGATCTTCACCCACAATTTCATACAATTAAAATTTACACCCCCCCCACAGTCACGCACATAAACACACACAACACAAGCGCACATGTATACACATATGAATACACAAAGAGAATCTCATATGCATATATAATGTGAAATGGGAGCAGACATATGCACACACACATACACACACACATATACACACACATATACACACACACACACACACACACGGAAGACTGTCGAAACAAGCACAAATTATGAACTATAAATAGATCTCCTCCGTTACATTTCTGTGTGTGTATAGATGTGTTCATATTTCGGCAAGTGCGTGCAATTGTGTGTATATATGTATGTATGTTCATTTGTGAATCTGTCTGTGTGTATGTATGTGCATATCTGCGTATATGTATACATATAAATGTATGTTCGTGTGTGTCTGTACGTGTATATATATGCGTGTGTTCGCGTCTCTATGTGTGTGTGTGTATTTGTGTGTCTATGTTCATGTATGTGCGAGTGTTTCTTTATATTTATGCGTTTGCGTGCATGTATTGCTTGCATGTATGTAGGTGCGTGTATGCATCTATGTGTGTATTTCCGGGTGTATACGTGTGTATTTGTGTTTCTCTTTATTTATTTATGTATGTATGTATGTATGTGTGTGTTTTGATGTACGTGTGCGTGTGTGTGTGTGTGCGCGCACAGGTTCTGACATATTTCTACTGAGTGAAATTGGGTGGACGGTACACTGAGGGGGGGGTCGATGGTTGTGCTAGCACGAAGTCACAAGTCATCGTGGCCGAGTCTTTGAGCGTGCTGGTCTTGTTCAGATTACTGATCACGCTAGATAACACGCTCTCTCCTAGAAACTGTAATTAATGTCTGCTCAACATAATTGCAGTATAAACCACAGACGGGCTCTTTGGGTGTTGAACTCAAATGCGCCTGAGCGAACGTCTGCAATGGGGATTAGCTAGCCGTCCCAGTAGACTGGTATCCTCGGATTCGAGGGGCTGAGCTATTTACCTTTCATATTTTAATCATTTCACCACAAGCAAGGTGATAAAGCCACTAAGATACAAGGGTTTGCTGAGTGTTAAAAAAATATGAGAAAAAAATTTATTAAGAATAGAGGCCAAGAAAAGAACAGATATTAAGATGATGATTGACGTTGTGTTTTAATTTTTGAAGGTCAAATTTGGAAAGCAAGAAACCGGAAGAAAGTTCCACAAGCGAGAAGTGTGATGGTAGAAACTATTAGCACATAACTTAGGCTAATATCTAGCAATTTTAACTATAAGATGATGAGACCTAACTGCCAATCTAGTACTGTGCTTAAATTTGTAAAGTCGAGGAAGCAAAGAGGAAATTTCATCAAGACAATTACTGCGAAAATTCTAATAAATTTTGGACATTTTTTTTGGCTCTACTTTCGAGTCTTGAATAAAAACGGGATTTGGAATTTGCGGGGAGAGGGTCGATTTTTTTAAAAAAATTAATAAGCTCTAAATAGCAAAATAAAAATAATTTTTAATATTTTATTTCCTTATCAGAGGAAATTATTATAACATGAGAATTCTTTTAGTTGAAACATAAATGATTTGATATGATTTATTTAAATCTTACAAAACGCTCTACAAATAAACTCTGGATTCAAAACATATTGAAAAGAAAAAAACAGAGAATTATTAGACATGGTAGTCGGGGGAAAGCAAGAAGAAAGGACTAACCATTAATTATAAGAAGACAGAATGCATGGCTGTTAGCAAAAGGGACATTCAGAGGTGTGTTTTACATATAGGGGACGTGGAAATGAAGCAGGTGCAGAGATTTAACTATATGGGTAAAATAGTAACATGGGTAATACACACACACACACACACACACACACATATATAGGTAAAAAAAGAAATGATTGTTAGAAAGATTCTGTACAAAAACTTGTATAGACTAAAATGAGAATTGTACAAAAAGCCAGTTACGCCACTTGATTTCATTTTTTTTTCATTTGTTCAAAACATAAGCGTCAACACGTGGAGATAGAAACAGTTAAAAAGTTTTTGAAAAGCTAAGCGAAACCAGTTAAATTAAAAAAAAAAAGTAAAAATAAAAAGTAGAAAAAGGAAAACAACAACTTATTTTTATAAGAGAAAAAGAACCTACTGAAAATCCAGTTGTAAGCAACTAAGTTTTAATTTAAATCTTCTCAGTAAAAATTCATATTATATATATATATATTAAAAAAAAAAAACAGACCAATTTAAGGTTCCATTATAATAATTTATTTCACCAGAGCCCTTTCAAAGGACGCCGGATCATCAGATATCCTTGGGACTACCCATACGGATTACCAAGTTTTTCATAACTTAATCATATATATATATATAATAAGAGGCGAATAGAAATCGTGGAAAATGTTTTTTCCGAAAATGAATAAGGTATTAAAAGATCGAAAAATGTTCTTAGAATCAAATAAATTCTTATTTGACGGCGCTATACAATCTTCTGTATGAGAGTAGACACACATGAAGAAGAGAGTTTAAACGCTAGAGATGTGTTTCTGACGACGAATATTGAAAATAAGATGGAAATTATACGAGAAACGTTGGAGGTTTTAAGGAGGTTAATAAATTGTTGTTAATCATCAGACATGGAGAAGCGACATTTTGGCGATATATTTCGAGGAAAAAAGGCTTGGAGAATTGACACAAATCAGCATATGGAGACCAAAAGAAACAGCGGAAAGTAGCGAATGACCTATTTGAGACTTTTCAGTAAACGGATATAAGTATTAAGAAAGACTGGGGGAGGGGGTCATAAACGAACACTTACTAAAAGCATCATATCATGGGAAGCTGTGGAGAGTTATAACCATCCACATGTCCATGGATACGACACACATAGACGTACAAAATTGTAAATAATTTATTTGTTATACAAACACAGAAACAATGAAAAAGAAGAAAATATTTGATTTCTTTTAAATACAGTAATGCCTTGAGATATGAGTTTAATTTGTTCAAAGACTGAGCTTGTATCTCAAAAGACTTGTATCTCAAATCAATTTTCCCCATTGATATTAATGGGAATATTTCTGATATGTTCCAGGACCCTAAAAATCACAATTATTTTCCTAAAACTTATCCCTATTTTTGTATTTGTGGGTTTCTTATAAGCAAAAATGTATGAATAAACAAGAAATATAATTTACAAACAATAAAATAAGAGAAAAAACAGATTGTAAAGAAATAAACTGTACTAAACTACGAAGTTCAAACAAGCCATAGGCCAACTGGCAGAGGAGAGTAAGAGAGAGAGAGTAAGAGAGAGAGAGAGAGTAAGAGAGAGAGAGAGAGAAGAGAGAGAGAGAGAGAGAGAGAGAGAGAGAGAGAGAGAGGGATAACAACAGCTAGCTTAGCAAGGGCTAGTCTAGTCTACAATACCAACGATTAACTGTATCATTTAATTTAAAAAATTTTTAAAACATTTACATTTTATCCATAGCTGAAAAAATTAATTTAAAATTTTAGAATTTTTTTATTTATTGATGATTAAGTTATGAAAAACTTGGTAATCCGTATGGGTAGTCCCAAGGATATCTCTGATCCGGCGTCCTTTGAAAGGGCTCTGGTGAAATAAATTATTATAATGGAACCTTAAAGTGGTCTGTTTTCTTTAATATATATATTACTCGTATGTCTTCCTCATGTGTTTTTTTTAAATAATTTTCCACTTTACCTTAAGTAAAATCATATATTTCAGCTTTTCCCCATTGCTCTTTATACTTTCTTCAGATCCATGATGCCACTAAAGGAATTTTGCAAAATAACGGCCAAAAATGCCACAACACACCAGAGATCCTTCCAGAGTAGAGGTGAACACTTGTGCTGCGAATGGAAATACTCCCGAAGCTTGGTATTCGTTGCGTCAACAAACAGATACTTAACTGAAACTCACCCGTACCTCAAAATTCAGCTCGTATCTCAAGGCAAAAAAAATCAGTCAAAATCCAGCTCGTTTCTTAATAAAAACAAAAAATACTCGTATGTCGATACCCTCGTACCTCAAGACATTACTGTATTTCTGTGATATTCACTAAACATAATATTTTCATCCGCCTGGGCATTTCGTGGTGTGGTGGTTAACGAGATTGTTTGTTTAGATCAGTTACCATTGAAGAGTTAGTCTGATCCTCACTGGTTGCCTCATATTTGCGGCCTTGTGCCACATCTAAGATACTCTTAGTAAATGACTATTTTCAACCTTCCACATAATCAATTTGAATCTGTACTGAAATAAGTTCAGTTTATATATATATATATATATATATATAAAACGCCATTTATATATATGGGCAAGAAGAATCCAAGTTTTGAGAAAATCAGAGACTCAGACCAGTCGGAATTGGTGAAGAATATCTGAAGAAGAAGCAAGAATTCCTTTCTTCTGCTAAAAAACGAATTAATCTTTTCCATGGAACATTTTTTGGCAGCAAATGCACCCGGTAACTTTTGCTGGAAGACAGCCAGAAAAACTAAAAAGAAGCAAACAAATAAATAAATAAAAAAGTGATGAGAAATTTCCAAAGCGAAGAAACGTCTCGATTGAGTAAATCTATTTAATTAAGGAAATTGAATTATTTCATTACTAATGACAAGAAAATGGCGTTTATGCTTTCTGTGAAGAAAATCTTTTTCAATGGCTTCCTTTGAAAGACACAAATCATTTCGTTGGCCATAGAAAATATATCAAATACTTATCAGATTCAGCCAAAAATTAATTAAGAAGAAAATCTGTGTACTTAGCGTCGCGTCTGCATATATATATATATATATATATATATATATATGAAGGAATATAGTCTTAAGATGTGCTATATTTATGGGATAAAGTGCTCAATATCAGAGATAGAGCGTGTGTAAATATAAAAGTGAACATAGAAGTCAACACTTAGAGGCGACAGTCTGTTTCATACTAGATGCAATCATCAGGCCACATATATATATATATGTGTGAGTGTGTGTACACACACACACACACACACACACATATATATATATATATCTTTTATACATTAAAAACGATTGATAAAGGACTGCGGTTAAGTTTTTTATTTTTAAAATTATACAAAGGCAAAAAAAATATATGTATAAGTGCGCAGGTATGCGAAAGAATCATATTTTAAACAAAAAATATTATATATATATATATATATATATATATATATATATATAAAGAAGAAAAAACTATTCGTCACTGACGCGTTTCGTCCTCTGTGGGATGTTATCTGGGTAAATATTTATTTATCATTTTCCGTTGGCTAAGCATAGTTTTTCCACTTGTCTTTTTATTCATTTTGTTCCTTTACGGATACACTCGATGTGAAAAATAATTTACACACACACACACACACACACACACACACACACACACACACACACACACACACACACACACACACACACACACACTCTATCTCACACACTGAAATATATATATATATATATATATATATATATATATATATATATATATTGTGTATTTAAGCAGCAACATTTCATTTATGCATGTTTCATTAAAGAAAAAAGCAAGGTACTGCGTTGAAGCTTTTATTTATTTTTTCTTGTGTTCGAACAAGTGTTTTTTTTGGGGGGGGGCACAGAGTGTAAACTGTTAAAATGTTTTGTAATTCCGAGCGCTTTCGGCTATACTTTTACCCATTATCAAAGGTGATTTTATTTTTTTTTCAATTTAATTGAGTGTGTGCGTTGTGTGTATGTTTTTAGTGTTATAGAAATGTTTTATTTTCCGAACACAGTTAGGACATTGTGGCCGTGTTTGTAGTTAATATTACTAAGTGTTGGCTTTTTCTTTTTTATTATTAAGGCTTCCATTATTTTTAATCTTTTTTTTTTTTTTGCATGTGGATGATGTTATGTTTGTATTTTCTAATAGTATGTTCCCGATGGAGTCTGGTAAGTTTGTGTGTGTGTTTAAATGGATTCTAATAGAGTTGTGGTCAGATAGGTGTAACGTAAGGCGTCTGGATAGGCATGTAGTCGTGTGACCGATGTAATTATTTATGAATTCGGTTTGGTCAGGCACACAGTTCCTTTAGGGGAATTTGAACTCATAGTTAATGTTCGTTCGTTGTAATTTTGACTTTGCTGGTGTGTTTTATTTTTGAGGATAAGGTTAGCTGTTTTAAATTTTTTGTAGTAATATATATATACATATATAAATATAAAAGTGAACATTGAAGTCAACACTCAGAGGCGACAGGCTATATGAAATAGCCTGTGGCCTCTGAAAAATGGATGGGCTTTCTGACGATTGCGCTAGCATGAAGCTAGACGCAATCGTCAGGCCGCCTGTTATATATTGATGCATGAAATAGACTGTCGCCGATTGGTGTTGACCTCAGTATCACCTTCCCTTTTTATCTTATATATATATATATATATATATATATATATATATATATATATATATATATATACGTGTGTGTGTGTGTGTGTGTATCAGAGAGATTTGTATACATTATCTATGTGGATATAAATATAATATCGCCGATGAATTCAAGTATGCAAACACACACACACACACATTTTTAAAAAATATTAATTCACCCCAAGCAAGGCAATAACGCCACTGAGATGCAAGTAGCCCCTCTCTACTGGGAGTGAAAGAGAATGAAAAAAGACTTTAAAAGGAACCAGAACCCCAGTCTTGAACAGGAAGCCAGTGATAAATGATGTATTTTATGGAAATCTATGATAATGTGAAAAAAAAGGTTTCGTGTGACGTTTTTCGTCCTTTATGGCTTCATTGGACGAAGTGGTGTTTCCATTGATATGACTACGCATTTGGGAAGGTTGATTTTTCATTGGTATTTAGGAAATAAACATTGCACTCAGTTCTAAAGTTAGGTTTTGATATGATAACGGCTGACATTAAAACTTAAATTCATAACTCTTACCAATATTTGATCATTTGGTTTTAAAGATTGTCTGAAAAGATTTGCTCAGATTTTTGCTTATAAACTGATTTAAAAAATTACTATTTCAAGAATAAATCCAAATAAAGTTGATATTTTTATATTAGATACATTGAATAGAAAATATATTCATACCAAAATTCTATTTAGAAATCACCAGAAGCATTGTTTTACAATATTTGATAAGTGAAAAGTTTGTAAAAATAGTAAAAGATTAGAAAAAAAAGCTAAACAATATATAAGGTCTTATAGCATTTGTTAGGTCGTAATTAAAAAAAAAATAGATAAAAGTGTATAAAACAGAATAATACTGCTGGGCACAAATTATAAGACAAAATGTTTAAAATTTGCATTGGATATTAAAAATTACGCTAAAACTCCTCCATTGTATGATATTAAATTATAATGTAACAAAATTATTCAGTATAATTTCCCTTAACAAAATGAAGATCTTATTTGATGGCACAATAATTTAGTAATAATCTGCTTTCGTGATACTGTCAATGTTTTCTTTTTCTGATTGAATTCGATGCTAAAGTCTGGTTCCTCTATGGTGAGAGCTGCACACAGGGATGATTTTCTGTCAAAGAACTGTACTGCACCCAAAGGAGTGATTCCTACTTCCCCTAGTTCTTTGATAGCATTCATCCCGATCAGGAGGTTGAAACCAAGTGGCTTCTCTTTAGGCATCTTGACAGTACTTTCACCTTGCAACTGGAAAGCAACAACCCTGAATCCCACAACAGGCTCTGGTCACCCTGTCTATAGTTGTTACACATACAGGCTCTTTCATCCACAACTGGCAATTCTCTCTGTGAGGGAACAACCAGAATGAAGATCTTATTATTATTTAAGTAATAATAATGTGCTTGTAGCTATTCTTGTCCACATGCAATTTGTAAAGCTTCAGTAGTTAATTTAACTGCTCTTTCCATGTCTTGCAAATGTGCAAATAAATTTGGCAACTCTAATGTTGTTTTATTCATTACAGGCACAGTTTTACAAACTCCAGTCTGTGAGGGGTTAATCAAATCTGATCTGTATGTCGCTTTAGAGTTGATAAATGTAGTTTTTTAATCTCTTTTTTGGTGGCTTGCTACTTCAGAAATTAAAAAAAATTTATTGGAAAATTTAGACCCAGACTTGGTTATATTTTTGTGATGTAATTTGAATAAAATTTTAAAATTAATCTTGTAAATTGACATAATTAATTAAATATAAATGTTTACTTATCTAATGGACAAAATTTCTATAGCTTCTTCCCTCACCCTTCATCTGACTTCAACATTGAGAAAAACAATTGTTTCCGGAAGCAAAAAAAAAAGCATTTTTTCGTTGTAAATTTTTAATGCCACATTCCTGTATTTTGGTTGACAGTTGATTTATTCTCTAGGTCATGTTGTTGTTGGTGATGTAGTGTTTTATCCATTTTAATTTCAAACCAACTAACTACATATATTTCAATTATAAATTTTATAAGGCTTTTACTGATCACCATAATGAAATTCCAATGCTCCAGTTTTGAACCTAAACGTAATCTCTAAATTTCTTCAAAAATTGGTAAAGATATGGAAGAAAATATTTTGTATAATTATTTATCATGTCAAACCCCAACTTTCAAAATGAACGCAATACCACGGTTCTAAAATCGATCTGCGCCATTACACATATGTACGAATTTTACATTATATTTTTTTTTAAATATATCTTTTGGGTATATATTTTTTTTTTTTTATAAACATTTATATATATCTTTTTCCCATATATATACATATATATATATATATATATATATATATATATATATATATATATATATATGTGTGTGTGTGTGTGTGTGTGCATGTATTTACATGAAGAATCCGACGGACTTGGTAAACAGATGATTTTAATTTATAAAAAAAATTGCTATGAGATGTTTCGCAGGCGAAGAAAGAAAAGAACAAAGTCTCACATTAACGAGACAAAGCGAGATTTCACTTTAAGCAGATGAACGCTTGATTTTTTTAAGTGAAATATTTTGTGATAGAAATAAGATTTTAAATAATTACAATCCAATTTATATTTTTATTTATTTATATATTTTAATTTTTATTTATATTTTTAAATTTTTTTAAAGTTTACGTATCCCACATTGTTTCATTACTGATTTGGTGTCCTGGGTATGACGATTAAGTAAATCCAGCAGCAAGGCCTCTGATTGGGAGCTTTTGGGGTGCGTGGAACCACTACTTAATTGCTGTTGTTCCCAGGTCCACTCTGATCCGGGGTGGTAGCACCTGTTAGGGTCTCAGCTATGGGCAAATAGTTAAACCCATAAAATGGTGTCAAAACACTATTAAAGTATTAAAATAATTTTTTATAGTAAAAATACCAGCAATACATTTTGAAGAAAAAATATTACCAGCAATACATTTGACTATTGACAAAAATCCTCTTTCCAAAAATACATCATCTATAAACTGATTTCTTACAAATACATATTCTGTTCATACAAACCTATCCTAAAAATGTTGTCGGCATTAAATAACCCATTGAGGTTTTATATGCCGTAAAACAAAATAAACCAAACCAATCTAAACCAAAGATTACATATTCTATTCATAATGAATCTATCCTAAAAAATGTTGTCGGCATTAAATAACCCATTGAGGTTGATATGTCGTAAAACAAAATAAAAAACCAATCTAAACCAAAAGAATACAATTCAATAAAAAATGTTGTTAAGAAATTGCATTGAATATGCCAAATTATAAAAACCAAAGAATAAACATATTCTATTCATACGAATCTATCCTAAAAAATGTTGTCGGCATTAAATAAACCATTGAGGTTGATATAAATCGTAAAACAAAATAAACCAAACCAATCTAAACCAAAGAATACATATTCTATTCATTTTTGTTTTTTGATTCTATCCTAAAAATGTTGTCGGCATTAAATAAACCATTGAGGTTGATATGCCAAACACAAATAAACCAAACCAATCTAAACCAAAGAATACATATTCTATTCATACGAATCTATCCTAAAAATGTTGTCGGCATTAAATAAACCATTGAGGTTGATATGTCGTAAACAAAATAAACCAAACCAATCTAAACCAAAGAATACATATTCTATTCATACGAATCTATCCTAAAAATGTTGTCGGCATTAAATAAACCATTGAGGTTGATATGTCGTAAAACAAAATAAACAAAACCAATCTAAACCAAAGAATACATATTCTATTCATACGAATCTATCCTAAAAATCTTGTCGGCATTAAATAAACCATTGAAGTTGATATGCCGTAAACACATAATAAACCAAACCAAAGAATACATATATTCATACGAATCTAAAAAATTTGTCGGCATTAAATAAACCATTGAAGATATGCCAAATTTTATTATAAATAAAACCAAACCAGTACTAATTTTGTAAGGACAGGCATGAGAATGAAACATCCCAGTCGAATATTTATTGGAGGACATTTACAGGTGATGGCATTTTTTAATGGATTTTCGCCTTAGTAAATTATATCGTCTTTTTTTCTATTATTAAAACGGCATTTTTCAGGTCAAAATTGCGATTGCAAAGGGTTTTGGTGGCATAAAAGTGCATTTAATTGGAAGACTATTTTATATCCGTATTTTACCATCTGGGAAGTGCTCTAACACTAAACTTCTTCTTCTGATGTAATGTGAGTTCAATACCTGGTTAAGGCAGTGGAGAACTAACTTGAGGAGGGGAATTAACAGGAGATAACTGATAACTAACATCCATTAGACATGGCATGTGGAACTAGAACAGTCTACCCCAGTGAGCGAAATAAAGGGTTCAGTTCGACATTCCAACCACCTGAAGAATGCCGGAACGTACAACGGCCGAAACGTTGTAATAAATATGGGGACAAAGATGAGGACAATAGTCCGAATAATGTAAATAGTGTACATAATACGTCATCTCAGAAATATAGACAGATACTGAAAGGCCGAAACGTTGTAATAAATATGGCGACAAAGATGAGAACAATAGTCCGAATAATGTAAATAGTGTACGTAATACCTCATCTCAGAAATATAGACAGAGACTAATGGGTAACAGAATTTTATATATAGATAGATACTTTTAACGTATTTTTCTTCATCAGGCAGATATTTGGGGCTGCAAATTTTACCCGTCTTTAACTGGAACTCCTATATATGATTAAAATCCATCGCTAAATGTGAGGGTAAAATGATCGGCTCCCTGTACCGTTCCAGTAATTAGCTGACTTCTCATTCTATCCTTTGCCTTTATAAGAGCCATCATCATCAGGCCGAAAATGGAGTATTGTTGTCACATTTAGGCGGGAGCTGTCCGCGCCTCAGTTTCCAGTCTTGACAGATCCTAAAAGTGACTCCGAGTCCTTGTTGGAGAAGAATGATTTACTATCCATCAACCTCTCTCTCTCTCTCTCTCTCTCTCTCTCTCTCTCTCTCACACGGGCGAGATGTGGAGAACCTCTCATTGCTCTATCGCTTCTTCATGGAAAGTTCTCGGACGAAGTACATTCCTTGGTTCCGTCAGGTCTAACCTTCACGGCTAGGACCCGCCATGCCACGCCTATGGCAGCAAACCACCCTCATTCCCTTTGTGCTCCAGCGGTGAGAAGTAAATTTCACCCGAATAGCTTCTTCCCGGAAACCACTGCTCTGTGGAAGCGACTCCTAAGAGAATGTTTCCCCGATCACTACAATCTTCACCTGTCGAGAGACAACCATTATCTTCCCCTCTTATCCATATAAACTACCACATATCGTAAGCCTCTACCTCGAGTGGCCCCCGGACCTTGTACAGGTTGAACGTTACTGTAAATAAATAAATAAAAACCTATTTTAGCTTGTATCTTATTGTGATATGAGTAAAACATTTTAATTGCTGACTCATGGAGACGTTTAATTTGAAAACGGTGTCAGTTTTTTTTTAGTGAACTGAATATCAAGTAAAGCAGTTGGATACCTCGGCGTGGTGTAATGGGTAGCACGCTTGTCTTGCTAGATCAGTTACTACTGAAAATTGAGTTCGATCTTCACTGGGTGCCCCATACTTTCGGCCTTGTGCCACATCTAAGCAATGCTTAGAATATCCTTTGGGGGACTTCGACATGGTGTAATGGTTAACAAGCTTGTCTCGCTAGAACAATTACGACTGAATAGTGAGTTCGATCCTCACTGGGTGCTCCTTAATTTCGGCCTTGTGCCACATCTAAATGCTTAGAATATCCCGCTTTGGGGACTTCAGGCATGGTTAATGGTTAAAATCACTTTTTTAATAGTTTCAATCGATCCTCACAAGGATGCTCATAATTTTCGGCCTTGTACGCCCCATCTAAGCTACGTTTTTTTGTTCACTTCTTTAGCAGTTATTTCTTTCTTTCCTCGATGTGAATTCTACATTCATTTTTATTTAACTTATTTATGAGAGAGAGAGTAACTTAGTTTTGTTCGGATATATTAGTAAGGCGTCATTTGTATTGTGACAGTACTCAGTATTTTTTGGTATATTTTTGAAGGGCCGAATTTTTAGAACTCTAAAAAGAAACAGGTTAAAACGCCGCTGATAAGAAAATATAATTATGTCGAAGTTTCAACTGTAAAAACTTATTGAATATAAAAACCAAAAAGACATTGATTTGTACAATGACAACACATTTTTATGACTTTGTTAATAGTGAGATATTGATTTTAGATTTTATGAGTCAGTTCATTGGAAAATTCCAACATTTGTCGACTGAGATGTTAATATATAAGGATGAAGTAAGATTTAAGTTTGCAGTGGTTTTATTTTCATATTTATGTCTTACAATTTGGTGATGATATCGTCGGAATTTTTAAGCTGTGAATGACAGATTTAAAAAAAAATAAGATTTTGAACGGGCGTTTCCTAATTTGTGAAAAGGGATAATTCTATAAAAGGTACTAAGTCTGGTTGAGTTGAAATTTGTCGCAATTCAATTTCTGTAATGAAATTCTTAGGTGTGTGTGAATGTCTAAACGAACCGACAATGATGGAGGTGAGTAAAAATCAAATATTTGGTCAGTGTAGGCTAATGGAGATTGTGTTGAAATGAAATTATGTTTCTAATGATCGGGTAAATCGGGGAAACATAGATAAATAAAAAACACATTGATATATATATATATATATATATATATATATATATATATATATAGAGAGAGAGAGAGAGAGAGAAAAATGAACAGACACACACACATGCACGCACACACACACACACACATATATATATATATATATATATATAAATATGAATAAATAGATAGATATTTCTTTTACTGATATATATGGATAGATAGATAGAACAGACTGAGATAGATATGAACACACAGACATATATAGATAGATAGATATGAATAGACTGATTTAGATAAATAGATAGATAGACAGACTTAGACAGATAGATAGATAGATAATAGATAGATAGATATGAATAGACTGATATTAGATAAATAGATAGATATGAACACATTGAATAGATGATGACTTATAGATAGATAGATATGAACCGAGATAGATAGATAGATAGATAGATAGATAGATAGATAGATAGATAGATAGATATGAACAGACTGATATATATAATATTAACAGATAATAGATAGATAGATAGATATTGAACACATTGAGATAGATGGATAGCTAATATAGATAGATAGATAGATATGAACAGAGATATATAAATATAATAACAGATAAATGGATAGATAGAATAGATAGATAGATAGATAGATAGATAGATATGAACAGACTGAGATATAATGATAGATAGATCATTTAGATAGATAGATAGATAGATAGATAGATAGATAGATTGATATGAATAGACTGAGATAGATAGATAGATAGATAGATGAGATAGATAGATAGATAGATAGATAGATAGATATGAACAGATAGATAGATAGATAGATAGATGCATATATATATAAATTATATATATGCAGAATATAAATTATATTTTATCTTTTAATAACAGGAGGTAAAAATTCTCGTCTGCATTCTGCCAACCAAATCTAAATAATTTTAAACGTATCCATAATTTGTACCGTATACAAGTTCTGACTAATATTGTAACCTGGAAAATAATAAGAAAATACCAGGAAAAACTCGTGAAATTTTCTTTTTCAAGTTTAGTCTCAATATCACTCGAAAATGTAGCATATTGTTGCATTAGATTTTCAAGGTTTTTTTTTTTTTAGCATCATATGACTGGGATTGCAAAAAAATAACAATGAACACTAATTTGTCGTCTTGAAAACTCTAAACAAGTCAGTTTTTTTTTTAATGAGTCATTCATCATCTCCTCCTCGCCGACCGATTGTCTTTTCCTATTGAATTAAGGAACCTGAACATGAATCAATTCGTCTTTTTATTGCTGCATTTACCTTAATTAAGGCCCTCTTTTTTGTTCACGGTTAATTCATGAGAAGGTGGAGCTTCAACAAATGATTGACATGTCTAAGAAGTAGCTAATTGGTTGAAATTGCTTTGTCATCTTTTATTTTGAACCAATCAAACACACGTAGAAAGACACGCAACAGTTGAACTGATTTTAATTTAGTGTCGTTCGTTCCATTTCTTTTATTTCTTTTTCATTCTGAAGAATTTCAAATCATAAATCATTTTTATTTCAATTTAATTAAAGAAATTAACAGACATTCGTGTTACATTCATTTTTACTAAATGTTTATTAATTTCAGCCTTGTTTTTAACGTAGCTACCTCAAAAGATTCGCTAAAAAATAAGCATACATGATGAAAAAAATACCCCAAACTTAATAAAAACAAAGTGTTATCGTCAAAATATTTATGCTATTATTAAGAGGAAAGACTAAAATATTTTTCGATTATTAAATTATATTTTTTCTTTTATCCTTTTGGGAAGCTTCCAAATTTAGGTTAAAAATTTTCTTTTTCTTGCATCAGCGCGTGATCATAAATTAGTATGGACAATTTTTTGCGTCTTTTTTTTTGTGGTGTGAAACATTGATTTGGAAATTCTTTCAAAAATCAGATAATTGTTAGATTTTAATGAAACTTTCAAGACTTATTCACAAATTAATTATTTCAGAAACTTTTCTGTATCTGTCTATATTTCTTAGATGAGGTATTATGTACACTATTTACATTATTCGTACTATTCTCCTTATCTTTTTGTCGCCATATTTATTACAACGTTTCAAATTTCAGTATCTGTCTATATTTCTGAGATGAGGTAATTGTACACTATTTATTTTTATTATTCGGACTATTCTCCTCATCTTTGTCGCCATATTTATTACAACGTTTCAGCCTTTCAGTATCTGTCTATATTTCTGAGATGAATTTCATTGTACACTATTTTTTATTCGGACTATTGTCCTCATTTTTAGCGCCATATTTATTACAACGTTTCGGCCATTGTTTGTCGCTCCGGCCTTCTTCAGGTGGTTGGAATGTCGAACTTAACCCTTTATTTCGCTCACTGGGGTGAACTGTTCTAGTTCCACGTGCCATGTTTGATGGATGTCAGTTATCAGTTATCCCCTCTGAAATAATTCTCCACTGCCTTAACCGGGTATTGAACTCAAACTCTTTTTTTTCCTGTCGCTATAAGATTTAACTAACGCCTTTATCCACTGTGCCATGTGTCTTTAGCTTGGTAACATTATTTTTTTTTTATTTTTGCTACTCATATTTATTTCATTTAATTTTATGAAATTCCGAAAAAATAATGTTTATATTAGTTATAAGCAAAAGTCCTTGGAGAATTTAAATCCTAAAAAGAAAATCTGCTTTGAATCGTAAAATAAGAAATGAAATAAAACTAAGACATTATTTAATTGAAAGAACAGAAAAACCTTTTAATTACATTTATGAATAAAATATAAAATATTTTATGGACACTATTTTCTTAAGAATATTGAATTCCTATAAAAATTGTTTTCATTTTTAAAAAAAATAAACAAATATTTTAATTATAATAATTCATACAGTTTTAATTTTTTTTAAATTCTTTATTAATTTGTAGCGATTAGGTGATATTGTTATTGAGTAAAAACTATATTTACTAATCATAAATGGAAAACCTTACTACAATTCAGTGACCGCAGTATTAAAAAAACTAAATTGTTTTGCTATGTGTATAAGTATGCCGATGTTTGTAAATACAAACGTCTATGCACGACATTATCAGAAAGATAAGATTGGTAACTATAGTAAATTTAATATTTATTGGTAATTTACTAACATTTCCTCAACAATTGTCTTCGTAAGACTATAAATCCAATGTACTTAACATTCAATAAGATATTAGATTGCTTAGAATATTTTCTTAATTTATAAAGCTAACTGGGTAGTTAAAAAGAAATAAAAAAATTGTATTCGTCAAGTAAATTTTACAGTTATGTACCCTTTACTTAAATTTGCTAAACATTAAATATCGATAAATCTATCAACACGTCATAAAGCGTCCACCTTCGTATTAAAAATGCTTTTCTGCGATATTTTAAATTTGAGTAAGTTTTATTTGCTTCAAATTAGATTAACTCAACATAAAATCCTTTAATCTTCCTTAAATAAAGTTTCCGAAAATTATATTTTATTTTTGAGAGATTTTTAATAAAGAGAATTAAGTTGTGTTTTAACGATTTAAAAAATCATTCTAATTAATTTAAATTCAGTTTGAAATATAGTAAATGATTTTACTTACTGGATATATTAAATTAAAAGCATTACTTTATAATTTAAACTAAAACAAAAGGTTGTAAATTTTTCATTATTAAAATGCATTTTAAATCTTACTTATGACTTTCCTTTGGGTGTACCTAGTTTTAAGACAAACGACATTTTTACTATATCATCCACATATTTAATACGCCTGACTTTATTTTATTTATTAGGAATTGAATTATTTCATTATATTTAATATTATTTAAATATATTTACATTTACTGAACGATTTTCTTGATTCTGATTCCCTGCTTCATGAAGTTTGTATTTCGACTTTTAGATTTACAATCTAAATATTCTTGAAGACATTTTTCCAAATAACGATATGCAATTTAATTAGCAATAAATTTAATCATAAATAAACCTCAGTCACCTGTCTCCAAAATTCAAGCTAAATTTATTAATTAGCAGCTTAATTTAATAATTTCATAATTTTTGTTATGAAGATACGAATTTTGAGGACACAGCTATCAACAAAGTTTATCTATCTATCTATCTATCTATCTATCTATCTATCTATCTATCTATCTATCAATCTTCCCAAAATATCATATCTATCTGACTTTATCTATCTATCTATCTATCTATCTATCTATCTATCTATCTATTCATATCTATCTATTCTATCTATCTATCTATCCCACCATTCATTCTATCTATCTATCTATCTATCTATCTATCTATCCAGTCTGTTCTATATCATCTATCTATCTATCTATCTATCTATCTATCTATCATCTAATCGTCCGTTGTGATGCAATATTTTTAAATCATTGAATTTTTCGACCTGAGGTTGGAGCTAAATGGATATTAATTTGTGTCAGATTTGATATCACCAAAGAAAAACTTAATATTTTGAATGCATTAATGGCAAACCACCACCACCACCACCACCATCACCAACACGACGACGACCACCACCACCACGAACAACAACAACAACCCTAACAAACATTTAAAAACTAATAAATGGACTACTTGAGAAATAGGAAAGAGAATAAGAAGCCTTGATAGAGAGTTTGTGTCAATTGCAGGATAGGGACCCCCCCCTGTCCCCATTATTTTTGGTTCAACCGGAAATTCAGTAAATTTCTTTGGCACATCAACTTTTGCTACATTTAATGATTGTCGCAAGTTGACCTTAAAAAGAAATTAAAATATACACATGACTGGGGGCTGGAATTGTGCAAAACCTTTTTGGATTAAACCATTTTGAACAAAATGGCATTAGCACTAACCAGATATTGTCCCTGGAAAATAAAATCACAAATCTCTTTGCGATTTTTGACAACGAAACTGATCAGTACATCTAAGGCAAGAAAAATCGATCTGAAAATTGCGAATAAGGAAAGAAAGAGGTTGCCAGATAGTGAACATGGCTGTGTTAATAAGAAGGAGAGTGAGAGATTAGAGAAATGTCAGGACCTCGCCTGGGAGGCGTGAAAGATCTGGAATAGGAAGGTTAGAGTCCATAATCATAGGTGTACTTGGAAGCATACTAAAAGACTGGAATCGAATCAGGATGAGTCGGAAATCAAAAGAAAGGTCAAGAATGCACGCAGACGGCCTTACTGGGATACTGAGAAAGATACTGTAAAAGTGAGGAGATATTTTGTCAGTCAGTCTTCACCAATGACCACCAAGTATCTGCTGGGAATATGTACATGCGTGAAATAATAATAATAATAATAATAATAAAAAGAAGAAGAAGACCTGTTACAATTCTATGGGACAACACAATACACACTTAATATTACTTTTATCAAAGCCAACCATATGACATTGTTATTAAAGACCACAAACAAAAAAAAATTGCCTCCTTATTGATATGGCAGTCCCTGCTGACTGCAATGTATCTTTGAAGATATTCAAAAAGCTGTCAAAATACAAGGACCTTGAAATAGAAATCTCAAAAATGTGGCACATGGGAACATCAACAATCCCTGTTGTAGTTGGAGCCCTAGGACTGGTTGGAAAAGATTGCAGTAGACTAATTGAAGGGATTCCTGGAAGTCCATGCCTCAAAGAGATACAAAAAATTGTTCTGACAAGTACATCCCACACTTTACGAAGGGCTTTATATATGTAATTTTTTTTTCTTTTTGTCAGTGGAAAGTGTCATGATGCCATTTCTAACCTTAGGTCCCTGGGCGGGACCCGGAAAGAAATGAGTACACATCAGAAATCAAAGGAAATAATAATAATAATAATAATAATAATAATAATAATAATAATAATAATATGGGGACAGATAGACAAAAGTTCTTAGCTGAGCTAGTTATTGACTACTCCGGCGATTTCTGTACCTTTTTGTAACCTATTAAAACCCTTTTTATTGTTACGTGTTATTTGGCGTTTGTCTCTACTAAGCCCAAATCAACATCATAACAATTATACATGTTTGATTGCTGGGATAGATGAAAGAAAAGACATATGAAAGGCGCTCATTGGTTTTAGGGAAAGGAAAAAAAGAAAAGACATTGGAAGATAGAAGAGGTGATAATGCTCTCATGTTTCTAACGTCTGCTTCAATGAAATGGAAAACCTTGTCAATTTTGAACTTTTTCATTTGTACCCTCTTACTTCTTTAAGTAATGAGCCGGGTTTATACTTATGATTTTTAGGGGCACTTCAACATGGTTTCTCTTCTTAGGTCAATCACGACTGAATAGTGAGTTCGATCCTCACTGTGTGACCCGTACTTTCGGCCTTGTATCACATCAAAGCTACGCTTAGAAAATCACCCTACTTATAATTCTTATTGTAATATTTTGTTTAAGTTTTTAACTTCAAATATTTAACGATGCAATAGGGGAGGTTCCACGGGTGTTATATAATCGTGGAACTGGTAAGAGGATTCTTCAGTCAGTGAATGAAGAATTCACCATTCACCAGAGAATTCAAATTGAAAACCGCGAAATTTTTTCGAGGATTTCTAGTAGTAGTAGTAGTAGTAATAATGATAATAATAATAATAATAATAATAATAATAATAATAGCAGTGGTGACATGTGAAAAGATATATCTGTTAAAGAAAATGGCAAACATGTCAAATTGAAATTGAAAACATGTGGCTTCTTAAAAGTACTATTACACCTTGGAGACTTGGGGACGGTGACAAAAAAAAACAAAACAAAACAAAACAAAAAAACAACAAATCTTATCACTAGAATACATTTGATCCCCCCCGTTTATTTGAGATTCAAAACAATTGCAGTGCGTGGAATTGTTCATCTACTCAGAAGAATATTATCAATGTAAAAAGAAACTATAAACAAAAAAGTGTTTTTACATATTAAATGTCAACTTAAATACATCAGAATTGAATAAAACACAATGTTCAAAATTCATACTGAGACAAAACCGAAAGTAAATACTACTACAGAATTTACTACTACTACTAATAATAATAATAATAATTGAATAATCTTTGAGGCAATTTTAATCTATCTATCCTACGTTGGTCTAAACACACAAAAGATGGTGGATTTTAATTTGCAGACATGAGAAAATTTTCAAAATTAGTTTTAGTCAAAATTTGGTATAGTCAAAATTAGTTTTAGTCGAAATTAGGTTTAAAAATTAGTTTTAGTCAAACTTAGTTTTATCCAAAATTAGTTTTAGTCAAAATTAGGTTTATGCAAAATTAGATTTAGTCAAAATTAGATTGAGTATAAATTAGTTTTAGTCAAAACTAGGTTTAAAAAAATTAGGTTTAAAAAATAAGTTTTAGTCAAAATTTGTTTTATCCCAAATTAGTTTTAGTCAAAATTAATTCACGCTGATTGTTGTCGGAATAGCCGTTTAAAATCGAGACAAAAAATCAAAATTGATAATAGCGATTTACTAAGCGTCTTTGAGATGAGGCACAAGGCAGAAATTATGCAGCACCCAGTGAGGATCCACTTCACTACCTAAGAGTAATTGATCAAGCAAGTTAGCTAAGCATTAGACAAAGCCGAAAGGCCCAGGAACGGAATTGATAATCAGCCGTTAGTTGAAGGAAACGGTATTTGTTAAAGGGGTAACAGTATAAAGTGAAGTGTACAAGAAAGTATTAACCGATAGCCTGAAATAAAGGCGGGATTGGGAGGAGTCGAGAGGTTGCGATTTTTTCCTGCCCCACTCCACAGTCAGTCAACGGCGACCGTCTCCCTACAATTTATTTCGCTCGAATTGATGGCTTGTGGTAGGAAAACGTCAGAAAGGAGAAGAAAAATGCTTTGCTTCTGGACCCGCTAATCTATGTTAATATTTATCATAGTCTGCGCATTATCTATCTCAGGCTGTCATATCTATCTATCTATCTATCTATCTATCTATCTATCTATCTATCTATCTATCTATCTATCTATCTTAAGAGCGATAAATATGGATAACACCTACATCTGTTCAAAGTAAAAAATACCAGAGTATATTTCATATTTTTATCATTCTGTCGAATCCCGATCCATAAATATATATATATATATATATATATATATATATATATATATATATATATATATATATATATATATATTAGATAAGATGTGCTATATTTATGGGATAAAGAGCTCAATATCAGAGATAGTGCGTGTGTAAATATAAAAGTGAACATTGAAGTAATACTTAGAGGCGACAGCCTATTTCATGCTAGACGCAATCGTCAGGCCAGGAGTGCTGTTATTTTTCTCGGCTATTTATATATACGGGTCAGTGGTGCATTGTGGGTAGTTTATTTTGGCGGTTATTTTACCGGAAGTCGTTTATTTGTTTATTTATTTATTTGTGTTAAATAATTTTGCTTGCTTTTATTTAATTTTATTTTTTATTTTTATTTTTTATTTTATTTCTTATATATATATATATATTTTTATTTTATTTTATTTTATTTCTATAAATTTCTGTTGCATGTTCTTATTATTTTTTTTACAAGCTTTCGTCTGTTCCTACAGACATCCTCAGGTATGGAATAGATTTTGTTCTTGTTTTTACTCTCAGTAATATATATATATTTTAATTTTAATCTGTGTTTTATTAACGTACTAAAAATTTGTTTATATCACTTACTAATAGTTTTGTTTTGGTTTTTACAGACATCAATAACTCATTTTCAATAGCATTTTCGGATACAACAATACATATATTTTCGTTGTCCTCTTATTATTAAGAGAAAAAAAGAAACAACATCTATTCTATACCTGAAGATGTCTGTAGGAACAGACGAAAGCTTGTAGTAAAAAATAAAAACTAATACGGCAGAAATTTATATAAACAAGGATCATTTCATTCATAACGGATTTAGAGGTTTTTGTATATTATTTGAATTGTTTGCGATGATGGATGTCTCGCCAATTAAATCATTAACCTTTGCATTAGTTTTTGTGTGAATAATTCATGTATTTATAAATTGATTATACGTTTATCGTATATATATATATATTAAATTTGCCCAGAATATTTTTTTATCCCTCAAATAAAACAAATTTCCTCAATAAAATGACAATTGGAAAAATTCTTTGTTCCTGTCGATGCGTTTTGTCTTTGAACTTTATGAATGCAAAGAAATAAAATAAATATATATATATATATATATATATATATATATATATATATATATATATATATATATAAATATATATAACTTATATATATTAAAAATTAGTTGATTGAACCGTTTACAGGCTATTAAAAACAGAAAATATTTAAGATTTTTACAGGTAATAATAATAATTCACTGTTTATTTATAAATTATATTATTAAACCCATTGTTGGGGTGAGAATCATCTGGACATTTATACATTTCCCTATAATATTTGGACGTAATTGAATCCGGGCGTTATTTAAAAATTAAAATGCATCCACATTCTTCGATCGCCTGGTATTCCCAAGTGAAGTTGCTTAACTCTAGCGACCATACGAGAACCTGTGTTTCAACGTGATATGACCATAAGTGTATATATATATAGTCGTTTCCGAACAAACCTATCTGCTAATATATATAATACATATTATATATATATATATATATATATATATATATATATAAATAAACCTAAATATATATATATATATATATATATATATATATATATATATATATAAAAAAAATTTAATTTCTTTACCTTTTTAAAGTTTCTTCAAACATACGAAACCTGTTGGTTTTGAAACATCTTCTCTTTACTTATTGTATCTAAGCAAATTGTCGACGCTTCAGTTCGAGATCTATGATTATGATTCTATATTTAAATATTTTATAATACGGACTGTCGCTGATTTTGAAATCCTTACCACATAAATATAGCATAAATTAAAAAAAAAACATACAGGATGCAATGGGTAAATTTCGATATTTTATATTTTTTAATTTCACGCATAATAATTGTTTAACATTTTTTTGCCGACACCGCAGTCTAGTAAAGTCATTTTTAGCATAGTCTGTGAGAAAAAAAGCACAATGCCGCCAGAAATTTGGAAACGGCATGCTGTACTGCTTAGCATTCGCGCTGGAATACAAACAATTTAGAGTGTTTGAGTGTCAATCTTGGTTCTAAAAGATTTGGAAATCTAATGGTGATTATGAAGGTGTTTTGAATCAATAAAAAATTTTTATGCCAACCATTCATCTTCCTATTTTATGCTTAGAGTCAACACGGGAAAACCACCAACTGCCTTGTTTTGGTAGTCCTGTCCTAACTAAAAATTGGCTGCTGAAAGATCCTATATCTTGCAACAGGACTCTGCACCATGTCACATAAGCAGGAGATTCTAGTCATGGCTGTCAGACAATTTCTCTGACTACATCACCTCTTACATCTGGTCACCTAACAACCCTCTTGATTATTATGTGTGGGGCGTATTTGAGACCAACAAAACTCCTTGTAACACCAAAGATGAACTAAAGGCAAGAATTATGGCAGCTTTCAAGATCTTAAACAAGAAAATTATCCAGAAGAGTTGCAGGTGATTCCGAAGTCGTCTGGAGGCCATGGTTGAAGCCAATAGCGATTTTCTTGGATAAATTTACACTTTAGTATTTCAAGATAGTTTTGTGCAATTTTGGTAAATATATCGGTTAAAATGAAATGTCAGTGTTATTTTTTATTTTTGCGTCATTTAGACGACAATTTATCCATCGTATCCTGTATAGATATAGAAAAACGATATATAAACTTTTATATATCAAAACTTTTAGGGAAGTCTATGACAATTTTAGAAAAGTCTATGACAATGTCATAAATTTCCCAAATACACACACAAACATATATATATATATATATATATATATATATATATATATATATATATATATATATGTATATATATATATATATATAGATATTAGAAGTGACGAGGGAGAAATATGAGAGAGAGAGAGAGACAGAGAGAGAGAAAAGAGAAACATCAAATTGTATGAGTGATAAATCGTTTTTTATAATGAAAAGTTTGATTCAATTCATCCCCAAATAACATCGGTATTATCAGCAAAACTATCATAGAAAGATCGTAAATGTCTACTAAAATGTCTTTAGGAATGAACCACTGGCAAAATACAGCCGAAACTATTGAATGTTTCAATAATATAAAAAGTAAGAGGAATGCCCATTTTTACAGATTGATATCTGTGACCTGTAGCCATCCATTACAGAAGATTTACTGATAACCGCTATTCATTTAGCAAAGAACTACTGCCATATTTCTGACCAAGAAGTAAATATAATAAGACAGGCACAAAAACTGATTCTATGCCACGACGGAAGTTCATGGACTAAAAATTTAAATATCTTTAGACTTTTTTTCGTATCCATGGAAACACATGATTCTGCGGGGGCATGCGAATTTTATTGACAAATTTAGGTTTATCTTATCTGAAAAAAAAATGCAGAATATACAGAGACGACAGGATAAGTTTTTTTCGTAAATTGAGACACCAAGAGAAAAATCGAATGATTTAGACTTAACTAAATTCTTTGAACCATAAACTAATTTAGACATTATCTGTTTTTAACTTGAGTAAAGGCCTATATAAACCATGCACTAAAGATTCAGACAACCACAGGGTACATTGGCAGAAAATGCAACCATCAACAGATTCGTGAAAACTTACACAAATCAGTACAATTTAGGTTATCGACCAACTCCAGAAATATTTGACGAAAATAAAACTAAATATAGTACTATGCTAGAAAAAAGAAACCATAAAGTGAAATTATAGTAAATTCTCTAACAATAAAAAAGATTTTCAACAAAAATAATATTAAAGTAAGTTATAGTTGTACAAAAAACATCGATAATTATAGATCACAACATAACAATAATGTATTAAGCAAACACAAAAACAAAATACTAAATAATAATTTTTTAAAAGTTTGTGTTTTTTTTTAAAAATGTTAATTAATAATGTCCACTAACTTAAATGGTGCATGACCGAAGACATAATCTACAGAGCTAGGATTAATTCAGACGACGATGCTAAATACCACTTTAGTTCCATCTTGGACAACTGGAAATTGCATTTTTACCATCATCAAATGACGCTAAACAATACAGGGTGCCCATGAAGTTCGTGCGCACTTAAAAAAAATTTATAACTTTATTTGTATTTGCGATAGAAATAATTTGTAAAAAGGATTAGAAAGAAGTAAATCTATATTTCTTTTTAAAGTTTTATTGAAATTTTATTTAAAGTTTCCACATGTTCTCCATCATTAGCAATAAAAAGGGTAATACGATTTTGCAGTTCACGGAAAACATTTGTCAACTGATTTACAGTAATGTCTGAAATCACATTAGTTATTTTAGCTATACTTTTTGAATAATGCATTAAACTTTATAACATTTTTTGCAGATTATTTCTATCACAAATACAAATAAAGTTATAAATTTTTTAAAGTGCACACGAGTTTATGGACACCCTGTATTAAATACAAAAACTGTACAACAATCTTAAAGTATTTTAAGCGATTAAAAACAACTATATGAACCTGTCTATTAGCTAGGAGGTAATCGCGGAAGCTAAACAATACTATGGAAAGGGAGACAGATGTTACTTATGTCTGTTAGAAAAATTATTATCTTAAAACACTTAAATAACTCTAAATTACTGAACATAAAAAGTCAATTGATTGCTACATGTATACATAAAAGTAAGCATGTACTGAAACATAAAATACGATTAAAATTTTTTTCAATATATGTGATTTATTAATATTCATGTAAATATAATCATTAAATAGTGCATTTTTAAATATCTATAATATATATAAAATTAAATTATATAAATAATTGAAAATTTTATTATTTATATAATTATAAAACCAGTTTAAAAATATCATAGTAAGTTCAAATAAAACATATGAATATATACTCTTAAATTATTATTCTATTAATATTGTGAATAATTAGTTTATTCCA